CTGAGCCACCCAGGTGCCCCATCTTCAAGTTTCATTTTTAAACGATGTAACAGTACAGAGACCCCAGGCTCCCTTTACTCAGCTTCCCTTAGATTCTGACAAGAGGCAGCAGGAGAGGAGAGAGGAGCTGGGAGGCACTGCAGTGAGCAGGGGAGGTGGCTGGGCGCACGCCAAGAAGGGTCCGTGGCCGGGTGAGCAGGACCTGACACGTAAATGGACAAAATCCGTGGCCCGAGGTGTCCGACCTGAGCACAAGTAGAGACCAGTAGAGGGGAGGGACGGTTCAACCTCAGGCACAGAGTGACAGAGCCATCACCTCAACAAGGGCTTACAAGAGCGAGCAACCCCCTCCCTGGCTCTCTTGTGTTCTCCAAACAAAACAGAACACATTTGTTCATTATGAAAAAAATGAACACAAATGGGTGCACATTCTCGATCAATTTTCTTACCCCAAAGCGTTTCTCTCGATGCCTCCCTGCAAGGAATTAGCCATTCTCATTGGAACTCTAAGGTGTTAAATACACATGTAAAAAACAAAAAAACAACAACAACCGTGTCTCGTGACATCAGAAACACGGCGAGTAAGTCCTAGGTCACTGGGGTTCTACCTGTGAGTGCAGCCTTTCCCGGCTGTGTCTCAGGCATGGTGCTGGGCACTCAGCCCACATTCGGAATTTGTGGAATGAATGAGAGAAGCGCAGAACCCATAACAGAAAGCACTCGATCTTACTGCGCTGATGGCTCCAGTGGCCGTCCTAAAGCGTTTCACTTCCTGGGCGGAATCCACCGACAGGCCTCTTTTAATGGAAGATGAAACAGAGTTGACTCCTTCGCCACTTGAATTTGAGTCCATGTCTGAATCCGGCTTAAAAAACACACAGGTGTGACTTTACAAACTGATTTCTTGGGAGAAGCAGAAGGAATTCAGTCTGGGACGACAGGACAAGTCTGACAGCCGTACCTGCTGGTCCTTGATCCTCTGCAATTCCCACTTGATGACGACTTCAGACAGGTCCACGGCCAGCCGCCTCTGCTCGATGGTGACGCTGGGCGTGAAGCCCAACCTCTGCATGGCGCTGACCATGTGCTGCACCAAGTGATGCCGCACAGGGTAGTAGACCTAGGGGTACGGGGCCTGTGTCACACCGGGACCACTGCCTCGTGACTCCAACACACATGCGCAAGTGGGCACACACACACGCATACACCCCCACCCCCCAATGGACCAGAAATACCTTTATTAAAAGATGACTAACCACATTATTACCGCAAACGATGAGAGATAAGCAAGAGGTGAAAGCAAATGCCTGAACGTGCAGGACGCACCCCCTATGGTCCTACGGTGCTCTCAGCGTGTGGTCCCCACCCCCCGTGGTGCTCTCTACACACCTTAAAGTGCTGCACGATCAAATGCAGGATGTGAACGAGCTGCGGGACCGTGTGGCCTTCCTCCACAATGATCTTCCTCGTCCAGTGCGTCAGCATCTGGTGCCCGTCCTCCATCCTGGCCGGCACCGCCGGAGTCAAAATGGCCATCGCCTGTCTCACGATGGCTCGAGCCTCCATCGCATGAGCCTTGAGGAGACTGTGAAAGACCTAAAACAGGGAAGAGGTTCTTACGCACGGTGAGAACGAAGGCTTGGAGAAAGGAGATGAGAACAATCACTTTGAACCGAGACTGGGTGTTTTTGCAAAAACGGTTTTTGCAAAATTCCTTAGGGCTGTCTTCTCAGGAAACAACAAAGCTGCTTTCTCCTTCCTTAAGTTTTGAGATGAATACATTGTTCCTCCTCCTACCGAGCTCCCACTTCGTGCCCGTGCTGGGCCAGGGTGGAGCACGCAGAGGAAGACCTGGCTCCTTACAGGGACTCTGTCTCGTGTAACTCATGGGAAGTTAGCTGATGTACAGGGATCATTTCTTTCACCACAGCGTGACACGAGTAAAAGGGACTGCTCTCGGCGGCAGTCTTAGAAGAGCGGGAGAGGTGACGTCCTGACCTTAAGTAAGGTCACGACACAAAGACCACCTGATGGGTACGGAAGATGGAGGGGGCAGGGCAGGTGCTGGAGATCAACAGGACTCGCCCACGCCCCGACCGGGAACTAGAGGGCATCGCGGATGGTCCCTGCATCTCTGGCTGGGAGAGCAGCACCCCAGAGACGTGCCTGTGGGAGGTGATGACGGAGGGGCCACTGGCTTTGTGGTCTGGGGCGTAACACCTCAGAGGTCACAAGATGAAGTGGTCAGAGGAAAACAATCAGGAGTGACCGCACAGAAGAGGACAAGGACGATCGCTTAGGCAACATTAATGGGACAAACTGAGCACTGAAGTGTACTACCGCATTTAATTCTTACAGAGATAACACTAAACTCAGGGTCACAAACTTGCGACTGCAAAACAGAAACTCAAACCCAGGGCGGCCTGGCGTCAAGGCCTAACCCCTCCGGGGACTCGGAGAAGGGTGCTCATCGTTGGCAGAGGATCAGTACGGGATGAGGGCTCTAGAGTGCCTAGTGTCTTTAGCTAAGGAACGGGCTGGGCTCTTGCAGGATGGTTTCAATGGACCAGCAGATCGGAAGCCAGGCTACAACGTGCAGAGGAGCAGGAGATGGGCAAAGGAGACGCTTTGCTGTTTCAGCAGCAAGGCCGCAGAGGGACGACGGAGCACAGCAGTAACTGCGGAGCGGGGGACACAGTGAGCGGTCATGGAAGGGTTCACGGTGTTTGTAACACGGCAGAAAGCAGCTATTTTTAAACAGTGCCGGGAAGGACAACAGCAAAGGAGGCTACAACTGCGGAGGGGGGGTGGGGCGCGGTGGAGGGGGGATGGGAGGGCGCCCCGCGGTACCTGAAGGACGATCTTCTTGTGTATGGCAAACTTGGCAATGATGTGCGCCAGAAGCAAGTGTCCGCTGTATTTGCAGGCCGGGTCCACGCAGGCCTTGGACAGCAGGCAGGGCCACGCGAAGGTCATGAGGCGGCGCAGCTTGCTGTTGCGGTTCTTGTTGTTGTCGTGGATGTGGTGCGGGGCGTGCTCCACCAGCAGCGTGGCGTACTGCAGGAGGTAGATCCTCAGCGAGTCCAGCATGTCCGCCTGCTTCTCCGGGTCCAGCACCTGCGGGCGAGACCAGCAGAACGGAGCTCGGGTCCAGTCCTGAGCCGTGTCACCAACCAAGGGCCACACGACAGGTTTACACCTTCAAACACACACGCACAAGCGCGCTCCTAAACACACACACGCGCGCGCGCACAGCATATACAACATCAAGCTTTACGACAAGAGAACCAACGAGGTCATGCCCACTTTCCCGTTATGTGTGCGGATCAGAGGCTCCCGGAACGAATTTCACTGACGAAGGGTGGGCTTACAAGTCTGAACACAGTGGGTGAAGGACCTTCAGGGGAAAAGGAGGGCCTCTTCTTTAAGACGAGATTTCTTTTTTCTTTTTTAAATTTTTTAAAAAAATTATTTATTTTTGAGAGAGAAGACAGAGCATGATATGGGGTGGGCAGAGAGAGAGGGAGACACAGAATCCAAAGCAGGGTCCAGGCTCCGAGCTGTCAGCACAGAGTCCAATGTGGGGCTCGAAATCACGAACCATGAGATCATAACCTGAGCCAAAGTTGAACACTTAACCAACTGAGCCACCCAGGTGCCCCTGTTTCTTTTTTTTTTTTTTTAATATTTCTTTATTTTGAAAGTGAGCAAGCACATGAGAGCGGGGCAAGGGCAGAGAGAGAGGGAGAGAGAGAATCCCAAGCAGGGACGCAGAGCTCGATCCCATGAACCATGAGATCACGACCTGAGCCTAAATCAAGAGTCAGACACTTAACTGGCTGAGCCACCCAGGTGCCCCAAGGACAGAGTTTCTTAATTTCCAAGTAGTTGAGATTTTTTGCCTAGTCAGCTGTTAAGTGTCTGTCTAGTCCTTATTTTGCAGTATTATAGTAAGAAAATGCTACCTGGAAAACAAATCTCTAAAGAAATTGTTACAGTTTTCTGTCATCAAGTATCGGACACATTTCTGTTTTATGAATATGAGAAAACATGTCCACCCCGAGGAATACCCCGCAGGTCTCTACTGAATCAAGTGCGCTGACTCTCCATTCCAGGCCTAACTACGTTTTCTCCCAGAAAGTTCTGAAAGGCTGAAGTCTTCCACCACAACTGTGTTTTTACTGGGGTTCCTCTGGCTCCCCGAGTCCCCTCTCCCCTGGACCTGCTGCTTCCCGGCAGCCTCTCCCGGGGACCCCACCTGCCTGGTGCCACTAACCCTCACCTGACCTCGAAATCCCAACTCCTCACTTGTGCTGAGTCAGCAGCATCTGACCCAAAAGACAGTCTAGAGAAGGCAGCACAAGAGAAGGGGCCGCCTCTGAGGCACCATCTCCCCCAGTTGCCCGGAATGAGGCAAGTGTCAATACGGGGACCCAAAACAATTCCTTGGGCTCAGCTCTCATTCCTAGAGACAGCGGAGGTGGGGTGAAAACTGCAGGAAGGACGCCCGTCTTCAGGAACCAGTAAACTGCCAATGGGAACAGTCCCCTCCACTTGGGCCCCAGGACGGAACGGTGATGGAAGGAGTGAGAAAACTGGGTTCTCCTAAAGGGCGTTCAGACAACACCCTGCAGAGGAATGCCCGTTGGTCACTGCACTCCAACAAACCACGTGTATACAGAATGCTCTACCAGCCTGCAGGTGAACACAGCACCTGCAGGCAAAGTTCAAAGGCCAAGCCAGCACAGGACAGCCGAGCCACCAAGAGGAACGCCGGGCAGCCATTTCTCAAACACGTCACTCAGGAAAACCTCTCTAGCACAAACCGGAAACGCTACTGTAAACATACAGAGAGACCTAACACCTAAGGTAACCTCAGACATCCCTGCTGTCACATTGGTCTCGTTAACTTGACAATAAGGGTCATGGTGGCAACTAGATCTGGTCTGTTTCCACTGACTTTTAGTAGATTCTTTTGCAAAAGTGAAGACAAAAACCATGTGTCAAGACTCTAACCAGCGAGAGGGATTTTTACAAAACAACTCCAACATCTAACTGTTCACTGACATGTGTTCCGTTTCTCACTGGAATCTATTTGTGTGGAAAGTCAGTTCATTCTGAAGTGTCCTCAAAAAAATGCACTGCATTCTAATACGACCAACGCAATTCTATAAACCAATGCAACTGTGGAAGATTAGAACCTTAGGGAAATAAGCTTATTTCAGCGAACCCATCATACAAAACACGCATGCACACACACTCACACGTTCTCTCTCATCTACTACGTTGCTTTTCATGCCAAAGCACTGATAGTGACACCACCTTGGTTATAAACACACTGGTGATGCTCTCTGGGTTATCGCCTTCTGGGTTGGGAGGTCCTAGGAGCTGCTCCCCGTCTCCCTTCTCAAAGCTGTACAAGAAAGCAGGATTCAAGATATGCTGCAGAACCTACAAGAAAACGTAAACATGAAGGAGGAGGAAAACAATGCTGTGCTCCGTGCTCTTTATTTCTTCAACAAGGTGGGTAGGGCCCCCAGGGTTTGCTTGGACACTGAACCCGTGAAGCGAGATCTCAGTCAAGGGTGTGACCCATCACCTGACTTTGACTCAAGCAGTCAGCAAGAAAGGTGGGTCAAAACAGGAGGAAAAGCGACTTGAGTCTGTCTACTCTTCTCGTGTCAAACGAGGCATTTACTAAAAACAAGGACTCCAACAACCTACTTTGCAACACTGGCTCACTCTGGACCCGCCGTAAGTTTTTCAACGGCGGCATCTTCCTCGCCAACAGTCCAGACTCTAGTTAAGTGTCCGCGGAGACACAGCAGAACACAAACAGTGCCCCTGGTTCCCTAGAAAATTAGCCCCGACGCCCACGGCAAAACCACAGCCTAACCGTGAGACTCACCTTGGCTTTCAGTTCATCTCCAAAGTTGGGGTCGCTGAAGTCCACAAAACGGAAAAACAGGGCACGCTTTTGAGCGATGCTGTAGTTTTTGGGAATCTCTTCCTCCATGTACTCTTTCAGGAACGTCATGTTGCAGAGAAAACGACCGGTAAAGGCCCGGAGCAGCTGGAAGAGCAATTCTATGTCTCCATAATTCCTTCTGCAGGGTCAATGAGAGAACAGGCTATGTTATGGCTGCTTTCGCGACGACGTGGGTGCACGTGGCCAGTGGACCACGGCTAAGCACAAATTCCCAGAGGGGCTCCGGTGTAGCTTACTGGGGGGAGGGAACAAGTCACTGGACAGAAAGCACAACGGATGCACCCACTTGCAGTAATTCAGCAGACAGTAGGCCAGCAGCTTGGGCTCCTTCCAATTGGTGGCAGCCATATTCTCCTTCCGGTGTCTCTCTTGAAAGGTCTCGCTAACCCACACACGCCTCAACTGGCTCACCAGAGAATGCTGATTGGCCAGCCAGGAGTCATCGTTTTTAACTATAATACTTATGATCTGTCAAAGAAGCGACAATTAGGGAACTGGCAGGGTTCTCCAAGCATCCCACCTGAACTTTGAAGATTTCAGGTGTCTGGTGAGGAGACGCTACCTTGATGGCCTGAAACTGGAGGTCCAGGCGCAGGTTGCTGGTGCTGGGTGAGCCAGGGCGCACGGCGGTCTGGGGGCCACCGGGCAGCAGCAGGGTGATGAACCTGTTGGGGTTAGCGGCCAGCACATCTCGCAGAGGTCTGGCATCTTTGTGTTTTAAAAAACTCTGAAAACAGAACAAACAAGCTATTTTAAGCCAGTCAGGGCTCACAAAGGGTTTAGATGAATGAGCGCTACGGTTCTTTCCCAATCTGTCTAGGCAGGCTAAAAAGCTGCTATAACCACCCTTTTAACAAAAAGCTCCTTAGCGGTAATGATACTTCGTGACTGTGGACTCCATAATCCTAGCAGTTCCTTCATTTGTTAACACCACCCAAATCCTACAGACAGGGGTTCCTTGGCCCACACTTTCCACGTACGCGACAATGAGGTTTCTAACACTTGGATATGTTACAGAAAAAGAAAAGCAGGGCACTGAACAACGAAGTATGAGTTTCGGATTGCAGAGCACACCGGCCAACAGGAATGTGCAGGGACACTGGACCCCAGCTCCCCGTGTGCCTACCATAAACATTCTGCTCCACTGGGGATCGTTCAGTGTGGCTTCCATCATGAACAGCTCCACCGTCTGTGAGGGGTGCCGAGTCAAGAACTTGATGAGAGGCTCTCTGAACGGACTGCCGGCCTAGAAAACATGTGGGTGAAACAGCATCCTCTCAGGGCTTGAAGCTTCTTAGGTCCACCGACCTACCATGGCAGGAGAATGCATTTGTCCCTCCTCGTAACCGGAGCGTGCAACAGTCACAAGCGAATACTAGCACGGAACATCTTTGTGCTGTTAGAGTACCCCATCTAAGATATGACGAAGTGAAAACGTCACAAGCCAACAGATGGTGGAAGAATCAGAATTAACCCCAATTTGACCATTACCTCAATCAACATAGCCCGTTCTGTTTTCATCACCACCTCTAACAAAGGCTTGACGAGAGTCTGAGGTGCAGCTGGGATCAGATGAAAAAGGTTTATAATTGCCGAACAAATTTTCATTTCCTAGTGAAGAAACCCAGAAATTACAAAACAGGCCAATTAATTTTGCCAGCCAGAGATCTCAACATCACTACAGACCCTACAATGGTCTAGCTACATTCGCAAGGCTAGCCACCAGAAGCAAAGAATTAACATGTAAAAAGCCACAATTTACCAATGTCAGATTACTGCTGTGGCCCAAGGAAACTAAACTGCCCTTGGCCTTCAGATTTCATCTGTCAACGGAGGGAAGAGGGAGCTGTGTACCTGATGTGATTGTGCTGTGTCTATTTTCAAGAGCATGGACAAGTGCTGGACGTGACCTGACAGGTTGCTACGCTAGAGCCTCATGGAGGAAGGAACGAGCAAGCCTGTGGCCAGGGGAGCGTGACATCACGGGGTCTGCTCTGCTGTGACATCACGGGGTCTTCCCAATACACTAAGTTCTGAGGGCACAGACTTCTTTTGTCCTCAAAACTTAGCATGAGAAAAGCCTTCAAAAAATCCTTAAGTATTTATCCTGAAAGTTGAACATGAACGTAAATAAACGACTGACCACGGTACTAAAAATATTCGTCAACCAGACCTACAGATGAGGCTGACAGATGGCTCTATGGAATCGTACAAAGAATGTGAAATGCCAAGATTTCTGCACTTTTCCAGGTGCTGACAGCTCAGTGGTCAATCGCTCTCAGTCCCACTTTCCGTGCTCAGTGTTAGCTCCCACAGTTTTTATCCGCAATCAGAGATTCCACGTGGCCAGAAGTACGGCCATGGAAGGGAAGACTCCCTGATGTACACCCCCCCCCGCACCGTGTGCAGTAGGATGTCCGTTACTCTAAGCGCAGTAAAATGGGGATGATAAACACCCGTCAGGAGGGGCCCCATCCCAAGAGCATCTGACATACCTCCGCAAATGCCTTGACAAACCACAAGGCCAACAGTGAGATGGGGAAGAAATGAGAAAACATGGCTCAGTGTCACCCCACCTCACCTGTAGAGTTCTCCGCTGCCAAATTCCCCAGAACACAGAGCAAGGTCTACTCTGAAATTGTAACATTCTAAGAATGGTACTCTCATATTGTGGTTTATGTTTTCCAAGTGCGGGCACAAACTCACTTCTTTTGGTCTCCACAGCATCGCCGGAAGCCAGGACTGACAGATGCTATCATTCCCATTTTACAGCAGAGGGAAAGCTCAGGGTTCTGACTGTCCAAAGTCACGGTGTCGGGGACTACGTCAGTGTGGTGTGCATGAGCGAGAAATGCGGGGGGACGAGACACGGAGGGGCAGGGAGGTTTTAAACTCCAGGCAGGCAGCCAGGCACTCAGGTGTGTGCAAGAAAACAGCTCCTCTCAGTCCCTAGCAGGGGTGATGTTCTTTGTGTAGTTTCCTCCCAAGAGGCTGTTAGATGTAGGAGTTCATACCACCATTATGAGAGCAAAACCCGGCTGAATCTTAAACGGTGTTGACATATTGCGATTCTAACATATAGAAACCAGAGAACTTGGACTCTTGCTTTAAAACGTCCTAATAGGTAACATGCGTGGCATCCGGACAGTTCACAGCAACGGTACTGATACAACTCCGCCACAGACAGACAATACGGCTCACTGCACTCCAAGGCACAACGCACTCCGTCCACCACAGAACCACAAATCACAGCAAAACCAAATACGACAACACCCCCTCCTGGGCCTCCACTGAGATTCTCACCTCTACCCCTTCCATGGCAGGCTGAACCAAAACAAAAATTACAGCATGAAAAAAGGCAACAAAAAGGTAAAAAGAACAGAAAAGAAAAGAAAATATAAACCGTTCTTCACAATGCAAGTCATAAACTGACTTTTAATAGGGTTGTTCTCACCTCAAACTGACAGAATGGAGACAAGGAACATCTCCCGCACTCGGAAATGCTTTCCTGAGGATGGGGAGGAAAATCATCTTTTTTTTCTATTTATGTTATTTACATAAAAACTTCCCATATACTCATACACAGTAAGGATTATTGGGGGAAACAAGACAGTAAAGACAATGATGAAAAAGCACAATAATTAACAAATGCTCAACAGCAAAAAAGCACACTTTCCACCCTTCAGATGTCAAAATAGAGCCCTTCAGAGAGTGTAGAATGGAGCATATCCCTTCCTTAAATCAAATTTGAAAAGCAGGAATTTTGGAACTCTTGCCCAGGGGGAGAAACTGTCAGACCCAGTTGTGTGCAAATGCACTTAAATATCTGTTTCTATTCAGAGTAAGTTTTCACGTGCAGCGCTGTCATTAAAGAACTTTTCTTTGTCTTTCCCAGCTGTAGCCAGGAGAGTGCCAGGTGGTTTAGCCCCATAAGCCAGCCGGTCACGGTGACACAGCCCCCACACCCAGAAGAACGCACAGCTACCTGGGTCACTTTGCCAAGTGAAGCCATGCATGCCAACACAGACACAGCTCCACAAGCGGTTGTGAGTTCTCCCCTGGGGGGGTTCGATGTTCAAATGGGAAACCTTTCTCCACACGGTGCTAGTGCAAAGCTCTCATCATCAGGGTACACTCAGTGTTATAAATAGTCAACTATTTATATTTAACATGTCTTCAGTTAGAGGTTCTCCATTATGTAATTACTATTTGGGGATTCAACCCAATGGGGACAACCTATGTTCTGAGATCCATTCCCAATCGTGAGCAACATCCATAAAAAATGATCAGAGTTCAAGAACAGAAAGGTGGCTTGGCCCTGGGCTGAGGTGACGAAACCGTGGGCACGCTGCAGGCAGACCCCAAACACCATGGCCTGAGGCCACACCTGCAGAGCTGGGTGTTCCCAGGCCTGCCAGGAGCACGCTCCCAGGATGGATGGTCACCATGTTTCCCACGGGAGCCGGAGGATCTCCCGAGGCCCACAGCTCCGCCCCCTGCCCACTGCCCCATCCAACGAGCCCTCCAAATGACTTCCGTCAAACTTTATGGAATCTTTCTGATCTAATGGAAGTAATTCACCTGCCCCTTAGGTTTTTAAACGTTTATTCTAGAATCGTGTGCTTCGGGGAATTAACAGCCTATTATAAAACAAATATAAAAAATTTAGAGCAAAAATACCTAGCAGATTGAGAGATGGGGAGGAAAAATAATAAGAGGCACCCGTACCTACTCCCAAGAGTTTAGGCTTTTAAAACCCACTCTGCTCTCCCCCACCAAGAGTTCCTGATATTCCCCTGTGTATACTGATAACAAACCTTCCAAGAGGTTATTATGGTGGTATTAACGCTCCTAGAAAGTTTGGAATCCTGGATTAGTTTTGCTCAGCTGGCTGTTTAGAAGCAGCAGGAATCAAGACTTACATAAACAAAACACCTTGACACAGAATGGTCAAAACAAAGCATAATAAAGCCAAAAAAAAAAAAAATTCAAGTTGGGATGAAACACAGCATCCAACAAACAGGCACAGAATACAGAAAGCCACGTTGATCACGCCTCTGAAGAGCTCTAGCATTCCCTCCTTACGACACTGCCGTACAATTTCACCAGGTGTAACAGGAACTTAGGGAAAACATGATCCTACCGATAGGACAGTCATCAACTTAAAAAATATTTGAGAAGAATATTAACATATACAAATTAGATTCAAAACAGCAAGAACCGTTATTTTTAAGAGCAAAGTCTTAGAATGACCAACGTCAGACATGTAAAAATATTTAACTTAAAGTCATAAAAATGTGTTTCGAAGTACTGGCCATTTGATTTTTGGCAAATAGCTGGGGTGGAGGATTGAGACCCATAAACATACACACCAGTACTTATGTGATGCTTTACTGCATTATCCTTACTGTTTCAAGTCCTAAAATCTATACTTAGTTTTACGAGGCAATGACGATGGAAAGCAATGGAAAACAACAGCTGAGGAATGCACCACCATGCAAACAGCAGCTGCCAAGAACAGTCTAGAAAATACACTTTGTACACTTTAAAGCAAAACTAGAATTAAAAGACTAACATTTCAAGCTTCCCAGAATTCTCATCAATGAAAATGTCATATTAAAGCGAACAAGAGATTTTAAAGAAACATAAAAAGGAATGTTCAGTCATCCAGAAAAATAAAGGCAAAACGTAATGCTAATAAAATATGGTCAACAGTTCCTATAGGCTAGATTTCTGACCGGCGTCTTAATTAAAAGCACTGCTCTGACACTAACACTGGGAACAGCAGTGCCGGGCACAGCTGCCCTGCCCAGAAGCGAAGAAGTCACTCACGTTTCCGTCGCTCCTCTGGCCCCCTTTATGGGTGAGGACCACCACTTCCATCCACTTTCGTAGATGTTGCTGTTGAAAAAAAAACACATTCTTAAACATTTTTGCCTCACACAGGATCATTTCAAGGCCTTGCTGTTCTTAGGTGGAAGTTCATATGTAACCATGAATTTCCGTCATATTCAATGTGAGGACAGCAGCATTCGTGTTTGAAATGGCCCAACCACTGAACTGGAGAAGAGAGCAGTTGGCATTTGCATCACTTCTAGAAGGCTGAGTTTACGCTGGTAGAGTGGAAAACGTCCCGAAACCCGGCATTCTGACGTTGGGATTTTACTGCTACCCTCTCACTACCACGTCCCTTTGCCCTGAAGCTGTTCATGAGCACCTCAAGGAGCCAGGCGCCAGGCGAGGCACCCTATGGAGAAGGAACAAGCCGACATCATCCCTCCTTGTTCCTGCTTCAGTTCCAGTGGGGAGAATAAGGTAAAATACACAAGTGCCTGCCATGAACAGTCACGGCAAGGGGTTGTCAAAGAGGAACAGGCATCAGCCAGATAAGGGGGTCAAGGTCAGGGAGGGCCCTGCTGAGGCAGACACTCCAGAAGCACAAGGGAAGAGCACACCAGGCAGAGAAGAGGAGAGAGAAAGGTCCTGAAGCCACGAATAATGTCTGGCTGAGCAGGAGGGGGCACAAGGTGGGTGCGGGGGGTGGGCTGGGAGATGATCATGGATCCCATATAGTCAGAGGCTGTACAATTAGTGCAAATACGGAGCAATTCTATTCTGTGCAGGGCAAAGGCAACCTTTGTGAGCTAATAAGAAGATTCTGTGTTCTGCGGCAAGAGCTCGAGAAGAGGGATCCCCGAGCCTGGTGCAACTCTGGCCCGGCCTGGACGTATGGCGGCCAGCCTCCCAGCCACAGTGGCCGGCAAAACCTGGCAGATAAGCACTCAGAACCTATAGCTAAAAGCCCAAGAGCATCCAAATAACTCAACTATCTTCACTGTCCCACACTGTCCAAACTTGTTCTTCAAACACTGATGCCCTGCGGGGAATTAACTAGCTGTTTTAAAGGAGACTCCGGGATAAAAGAGGCTTGGGGACGGATGATATGAATACACCTAAACACTTATAGAGCCAGTGCTCCCAAGAACAGGCAGTGAGAAACACTAAAATACACATACTTTCAAAGAAATTAAATACACTAAGCTAACAACATTCTGCCAGTAACATTCCTGGAAAGATACTAATCACCAAAATTTTTAAGGTGGTTATCATGAATGCCTATCCTACACACTGAGGTGTCTTCGCTCGTAAAATTATACCGAGGGCTTGAGCCGTTTGCCTCAAAAGCGGATTATGCGTGGCAAGACGAAGGCTCAGTGATGGAACGCGGCTCTGAAGAACACACACAGAAGGGCAAATGTGTCCGTCCTAGACCAGCGTACCAGCCCCGCCCGAGAGCAGCAGGCACGGGCACATCAGGAGACCCATGCCGGGAACACGAAAGCAGAGTTGGCACGGACGCAGGCTGGTCTGGCAAGGTGGGCGTCAGATGAACACGGCCACACCAACAGCAGCTTCAGTCTTTCTTTATCCAAGTACATCAACACTCTCTGCTCCTAGAGAAATTTTCACCATTCTGAAAGCAGCTGTAATGCCAGAGCAGGGGGAGGGGTGATCCCCTACACAAACCAGAAACACAAACCCACGGATTTGACTTCCGGGAAAAAGACTCCGGGCCTAAGTCAGGAACTACAGGCTGTGAGGTTGTAAGTCTCTTCGCGCTGTTCTAAAAGGTCTGGGTAGTGATGTTCACCAAATGAATTCTCAGCTCACAGCAAATCTGAAGGATCAGAATGGCTGTAAAACAACCAACGGATCACAAACACATTGCTTCCTGCAGGCCTGCAAAAGCAGTGAAAGAGGACAGCTGAGAGGTGAGAGAGAAATACAGAGACACTGAGAACACGCACGGATCTCACACACAAGTGTGCCAAGAGCTGTGACGTGACGCAAGATAAAGAGCGTATCTGATGTGCTCTCGTTAGGAGGCGATACAACTTCATTTACTGGAACCACATCTGCGAATGTCTGTACGGACGTAAACTGGTAGGGGGGTGTGTGTTACGCTTGGAAGCTTAACAGGAAGGCAGCTTCCAATCTGGAAAATGTATTTCCATGTAATACCCTGTTTCCCAGTTCTACTCCAATAGGGCAGCAGCTACAATTTTTAGGACCAACCGTAATGCTACCAATTCCCAGGTAGGTGTTTTGGTGATTGTTCGCTGTTTCGGGGTCTGCAGATACGAAGAAACCACACATGAGGTAAAAGCTGTGTGGTCCTCACACATCTGCACCCCACACATGCTCTATCTGTACCTGTCTACTCCTGTCTACGGCTGCGGAAAACCTGTGCCAAAACCAAAACGAATACCTTCAATGTTTTGAGATATCTAAATGGTCAAAGGCTACTTAAGAAAGAAGCATGCCAAGTACATGCACATTTGCAGTAATGTGCCACGAAACCCGAAGTTGTTTGTAACCGTCTACTTTCCAGGAGCAAAACCGAACGTATACGAAAGTTAATAGTTGAACCTCCTTCAACTGCTTATGCTTCAAATTTAAACAGGGTCAAACAGGTATTTTTATTTGCATAATTATTTCCTTGGTATTTCTAAAAACCCAAAATACTTCAGAAGTTCTTACACATGTTCCACTATATCACTGTCTACATAACAGCAGAAGACTGGGAACAACCTAGATGTTCCTCAGCAGGGGAACAGTGAGACAAATTAGGGCACGTCCACGTAAGGGAATAGGAGAAAGGAGTAGAAGAAAGAAGCACTTCATGTTCTCATCTGAAATGATGAGTCGTAAAAAAAAAGTAGCAACTGTGTAAACGTTGCGCTTCCTTTTGAGGGAAACAAAAGAATACACCTATGACCTATTATGAGTATAAAACGTCTCTAAGGGACATACAGGAAACTCTTAACATAGGAACCGGAGGCGGCCACTGGAGGACAGGAACGAGGGGGGTCTTTCACAATAACCCTTTCTTGTTTTTTCTTAATGTCCATCTATCTATCTATCTATCTATTTATTTACAAAATTGAGAAAATATTCATTTGGTACTTATTTATTTTTTAAATGTTTATTTATTTATTTTTGAGAGAGACAAAATGAGAACACAAGCAGGGGAGGGGCAGAGAGAGCGGGAGACACGGAATCCGAAGCAGGCTCCAGGCTCTGAGCTGTCAGCACAGAGCCCGGATGCAGGGCTCAAACCTATGAACCGTAGTATCGTGACCTGGGCCAAAGTAAGACACTCAACTGACTGAGCTACCCAGGCACCCCAATGTCTATTTATTTTTGAGAGAAAGAACACGCAATGCATGCAAGCAGGGGAGGGGGAGAGAGAGAGGGAGAGAGAACCCCAAGGAGGCTCTGCGTGATCAGTTTGGAGCCTGACAAGGGGCTCGAACTCACGAATGGTGAGATCATGACCTGAGCTGAAATCAAGAGTTGGGTGCTCAACACCCAGGTGCCTCCCCCTTTCATGCTTTTTGAATTTTAAACCACGTATATGTATTACTTAAAAAAAAAAAATAACTTAAAATTTCAGGCTGATTAGAGAGTATTTATGCATTTGGCTTACCATCATCTGATCACAAAATTTATCATTGAAGGAGTTTGGGAAGAGCCTGGTAACTGAAGTGAGACGATTCACGACATTCAGTGTCAGGCTTCGATAATCCCCCAGCATCATCAACAAAGGCCGCATATGTGTATGGATTTGATCCACTTCTATGGTAGCACCTTCCAAAAACTATTAAAAAGAAAAAAAAAGGTTACAAAGGAAAACAGTTAACAGAATATACTTTAAAACAGAATGAGCTCATTCAGCTCTAGCAACAAGTGTGTGTTTTCCTTGGAAAATGGAATATCAACCATATACGTTCTAGAAGTTTATGATGAAATGAACGTGACTGCTCATTACTATTTATTATTTTAAAAGGCTCATGAGGACCATGAAACAAATAGAGACGTTATCAGAGTGCAGTGTGTACGAAACAGAGACTTCCAGGCACACAAACGAGGTGAACAGGATGAACCTAAAGGCAGAACTCACACCCATGTGTGCGCACACACACACGCACTCACTCACCTTTCTCATACAGGCTTCTCCAGCCTCCTGCAGCTCACTATTCGTGGAATTCAGGGCCTTGAAGAGGGCAGCGATGATCTTCTCCCTGGACTGAGGAAGGTAGTTGCAGGCAGCAAGCGCATCTTTAGGGAGACAGATCAATACAATTTCATTATTAACCTGAAAATTATATGAATAATTGCCTTGTCTAAAGGCTCTTACCAATCAACACAAACTGAATCACTGAACCACCTCCCAAGTGTCCGACCTCAAGAAAGACAAAGGAATACATGGTCTTCTAGTTCACGTACATGGTCTTCTAGCTCACGTACATGACTTCCCTAGGAGGGAAGTCAACAGCCTGTCAGAAAGGCCATGATAAATATTACCTGGTCCAGATAGAAGGAAGAAGGGCTGGAGGGGGAAAAGAGGGAGTGCGCACTGACACCACTTCCCCCATCCTCACATGGGGTGAGAGCATGGCTGAGTGTAAGCAGACGCATGCTGAATTGACAGAGGGCTGGCCCTGAACTCTAGTGGTGAAGGGAACACACACACACAGCCCGGCTTCTCTTCCACTATCCATGTCTGACCAGGCAGCCTCCTCCCATCTTGGGGAGTTAAAGGCTGTGAAAATGCAAATATTCATAGAAAAGGGGATACACATTAATCCCACATGTTAGCTGAGAGATAACATCCAAGAGTAATGCCTGTTATTAGCCAACAGGAATGAAAAGCATGCAGAGAAAGCAATCCCGACACAAGCAAAGATTCCAACCCTGGCTGCGGAGCACCCCCCTCACTCCCACCTGCTGTGTCGTCCACACCCCAGCCCCTTGCTCAAGCGCAGGTATAATGGTCTGCCTCTTACCTCCTCTACCCCTAACTCAAGGAAGGTTCTGGCAATGTTTTATTAGGAACGTAAAACCCAACAGAGCAAGAGAAAAAGTCAACTAAAAAAAAAA